GGCCCGCCTTGCGCAGGCGCACGTGACCTCTGCCTGAGCCGGGTCGGCCGAGGGCGCGGCGCTGGGGTCGGGGTTGGGCAGCCGGGATTGAGGGGTTGGATGAGTGCGCGGGGAGGGGTATTCATCAAGTCGTTGAAACGCCTACTCTTTTAGGGTTTCTCTTTGTCCATCCTACCTTTTAGGCATGTAAATCTGTAGCCAGACCACCTGTGATTTTGATCTAGTCACTTAATCTCTGTGCCTCTATTTCCTTTTCTGCAAAGTTGGGTGATTTAATAAGCACCTGCGTATAGTTAGGAGATTGGTGTACAGCACCTGGTACACAAGAAGTGCTACCCAAGTATTTATTTTTAAAGTTTTTTAAAAAGGGATTTTTGTTATAGGGCGTGTGTGCTCGCCAAGCGAAAGGGGATGGCCATGCCACAATCTCTTCTCCATTCTCCTCTCGGGATCTTGGGCACGCATGCACACGTGCCCATCGTGAGTTTTAAACCGTGGGGTCAGGGACTCGAACCATGGTCGAATATGTGGGAGTCCAGCAACATGACGGTTACACCATCTGCTGGTCCCTCTACCCAGGTATTTGTTGTTAATTCTTCCCCCTATCTCCCTGGGTTTGGCCTAATCTGCTCATTTATTCATTCCAACAGTGATTTCTTCATACATTCAGGTGTCTGATTCTGGCGGCCCTCCCCACCCCCCCCAACAATGACAAACAATCAAGAAGTAACCTAGCAAGAAATGCCACCTCTCACTTCTCAGAGAAGGATCCCACTCCTGTGCCACCCAGGTACACACCACTGAACATCAGTTACCATAGCTTTTCTCTACATAGGATGGTTGTAGGCTTTAAACTTTGACATTCCTGGAAATGAGGGTCCTGAGGAGACTTTAAAAACAAAGAGAAACCTTCTGCCACTTTGTGGGACCAGGGTGTGTATGTCTTGAATAAATCCCAGAGTCTGGTTGAGCTGAGACTGAGGCTGGAGGAGAAGGGAATCCAGCCCTCTGCTGGTTCCAAAGCTCCCATCCTTCAGTAGCTCCATCATTGCCATGGTTGTCTGAGTTTTAAGTTGTAAATATGTTCCTTTTTTTTTTTTTTTCCTGTCTTTAACTTGACTTAAAGTGTTTTTGTTATGCCTTGCTGAAGTTTTGATTATTTTGTGTCAGGTAGATTTATCAATCTTTTGATTTATGCCTCTGGATTTTGGCTTATACTTAGGCTTTTCTATTCTGATACTACAAAAAGACTCCTCTCACACCCCATGGTACTTTTGTGGTTTCATTTATAGTATCACAACTTTGATTTACTTGGATTATGCTGTTACAAAGAACGAGGCAGGAATCCAATTTAATGTCTTTCCAGATGATTTTCCAGTTCTCTCTGTACATTTATCGAAGTGTCTGTGCATGTTTTTCTAACGGATCTGCTACCGTTTTATATGTTACATTTCTGCCCATGGTGGTATAGTTTGAGGTTTTCTGTTCCATATCGTTCATCTGTCACACCAATATCACACTTTTTATTCTTACGCCTTAATGGCATGTAAAATACTTGAGGACAAGTACACCTTCAAGTGCCGTCTTTTTCAGTTTTCCAAGATAATTATTTTTTCAATGTAAACATTAAAATATACTTCTGAAAAACTGACTTTTTAAATGTTTTTGTCATAGGGCATATGCACACACCAGAGTGAGACAGAGAGAGAGAAAGAAAGTGAGAAGTCACCCTCCAGGGTGCATAGCCATGCCACAATCCTTTCTTCAGTCTTGTCCTTGGATTTGGGGCATGTACACATATAGCTGGGGTAGTTTTCTTTTTCTTTTTCTTTTTTTTTTTTTTTGAGAGGTTTTTTTGTTTGTTTGTTTTTTGCTATAGGGTGTGTGCACTCACCAAAAAGACAGAGAGAGACAGAATGCAGGCAGTCACCCCCCAGGGGGGATGGCCACAGTGCAATCCCTTCTCCATTCTCCTCTCAGGATCTTGGGCATGCATGCACACATGCCTGGCATGAGTTTAAGCCACTGGGTCCAGGACTCAAACCATGGTCAACTACATGGGAGTCCAGCAACATAGCCATTACGCCAGCTGCTGGTCCTGAGTTGGGGTGGTTTTCAAGCTGCCAGGCCTGGGACTCGAACTGTGGTTGGCCATGTAGGAGTCCAGCACCTTAACTACCACTTCACCTGCTGGTCCTGTCCCCACCTGTTTTATCAGCTATATGACCTCAGGAAGTGTGTGTGCTTGTGTTCTTACACATTTCATGTCTGGCCTGCAGATTATAGGAAATCAAGGCATAAAATGCCTTCTTTAAAATAAGCTGAGTCTTCCCTTTGTTGCTTCCACTCCTCAGTGAGCCACTGAGAGGCAAGCCTCCAGGCTCCTAGAGTGGACACCCAGGGCTCCAGCATCTAACGTGACCCTTCTAGACCCATAGCACCCTGGGCCAGGTGGCATAATGGTTCTATCGCTGGATTCCCACATAGTCAACCTTGGTTAGAGTACCAGACTTAGTGGCTTAAAACTCATGTCGGGGGACCAGCAGGTGGCATGGTGGGTTAAGGCGCTAGACACTCCCACGTGGCTGACCAGGGCTCAAGTCCTGGATCTGGTGGCTTGCTTTCTCACTTCCTCTCTCTCTCTCACTCTCACCCTGTCTCTCTCTGATCAAATTTAAAAATAAATGAATCAATCAATAAAATATAAATAATTATTAAAAAAAAAAAAAAAACTCATGCCGGGCACATGTGTGCACGTGCCTAAGATTCTAAGAGGAGAAAGAAGGAGAAGGGATTACGGCATGGCCATCTCCACTGGGGGTTAATTTCTCGCTTGCTGTCTCTCTCTCTCTCTGTCTCTCTCTCCCTCTTTCTCTCCCTCTTTCTCTCTGGTGAACGCATACACCTTATTGCAAAAATCTCTCTCAAAAAAAGAGTAGCAATAGTCCACCAAACCCTGCAGACCCAGGTCTGGACTGTTGTGAGGATCAAAGGGCTGGGGGACCCTCTGCTGTAGAGGTGAGGGGCTGTGCACCAGTTCCAGAGGAGGGGAACATCCGTGTTGTTAAGGTGCTACCGTCATAGCAATGACAGCTGCGGCAGCAGTGGCTGCAGGGCAAGGCAAGGAGCAGTCTCGTCCCCAGACTGCTCCTCCAGCGCACGGTGCCTGGACTGTGGGTAAAAGCATAACTTTGTTGATGTTATTGTCATTTTCCCAAGCTTATCCATTGAATTTGTTTCTTTTCTCTGTTCCCACATTGATTGATATGCAGATCTCTTCAGTTTCTGTCTCTCCCCACTTTAGATGTTAAAAAGTCTTTAGGAACTGTGCATTATTTTTATATTTACTTGTATCCTGGATCCTATCTTTAGATACCTTTACAGAAGATAAACAGCCGTTTGAGTTGGAGTTCAACCTGGGCATGCCCTGGTATTACTGTGCCATGGTTCAGACGCAGTGTCTCAGTGTCAGACACAGCAAAAACATTTGATCTGGACAATCTGTGGCAGGCATGTCCTAGGCTTGCCAGAGGTGCTTAGGGCCCTGGTGAAGTCTACATCACCTTCTGCTGCTTTAGCAGCAGAAGATAGTAAACTTGAGGGAACCAGCAGTTAGCGTAATGGCTATGTCGCTGGACTCCCACGTAGTCAACCGCAGGTCGCGTCCCGGACCCGGTGGCTTAGAACTCACGCCGGGCGCGTGTGCGTGTGTGCCCAAGATCCCAAGAGGAGAATGGAGGAGAAGGGATTGTGGCGTGACCATCCCCCCTGGGGGTGATTTCTTGCTTTCTGTCTCTATGTCTCTCTCTGTCTGGCAAGCGCACGCACCCTATAGCAAAAAAAAAAAAAAAAAAAAAAAAACTCTCAAAAAAAAAGATAGTAAACTTGAGAGGTCTGTTTTATATTTCAGGGATCAAGGTGTGAACAAAGTGTCAACTCCTAAGAGAAGATTTTTGTGAGGATGGACCCACACCAAAGGGTCTCTTGCCTAGATAATGGAGAGACTTTACACATTTCTGAGCATGAAGAAGTCTCTCAGTGTGAGGAGCAGCTAGGACGGCATGAGGCCAGCCCTGACGAAAGACGGTATAAGTGCAGTGAGTGTGGGAAGAAGTTTGCTCAGAGTTCAGGCCTGGTTCGACATCGGAGAATCCACACTGGAGAGAAACCGTATGAGTGTGATCACTGTGGAAAAGCCTTCAGTGTGCGTTCAACCCTCACTGTGCATGAAAGGATTCACACTGGAGAGAAGCCCTACACCTGCAATGAGTGCAAGAGAACCTTCAGTGTGAGGGCACACCTGGTCACACACCATAGAGTCCACAATGGGGAGAGACCCTACAACTGTAACGAGTGTGGCAAAGCATTTAGTGTGAGTTCAGACCTCATTAAACAGGGAGTCCACACTGGTGAGAAGCCCTATGAGTGTGACGAGTGTGGGAAAGCTTTCATTGTGAGCTCAGCCCTCATCAAACATCAGCGAATCCACACGGGAGAGAAGCCCTATGAGTGTAAGTGTGGGAAGGCCTTCTATGTGAACTCGGCCCTCATTAACCACCAGAGGATTCACTCTGGGGAAAAGCCCTATGAGTGTGGGGAGTGTGAAAAAGCATTCAGCCAGATCTCAACCCTTATTCATCACCAGAGAATTCATACTGGAGAGAAACCGTATGAGTGTGACGAGTGTGGGAAAGCCTTTCGCGGGAGCTCTAATCTTACTAAACACCAGAAAGTACACGACCAAGGAAGGCGTCATCAGTGACGTATGGCCGAGGTATACCAAAGGCTCCCCGTTGCATCAGAAGTTACCGTGGAGAGGAGAATGTGGGCAACATCAATGCCTTCACTGACACTCCCCCTTAAAATACTGAAGTGAGAAGTCACTGATGCCCTCAGCATAACAGCTAAGGCTCTGAAGCCCCATCGCATTCTGACAGTGCAGTTTTACAAGTCATCAGGTTAGCGGTTTGAAATGTACTGGGACCAGCAGGTGGTGCAGTGGTTCCGGTGCTGGCTCACCAGTACGTGACCAAACCAGTTTGAGTCAAGACCCAGTGGTTTGTCATGCGGGCACATGTGCGTGCACAAAATTTCCCTGGAAGAAAAGGAATTGCAGTGTGGCCATCCCCCAGGAGATGATTTCTCACCTTCCCTCTTTCTGTCTCCAGCAAGCACACACCCTATGACAAAAAATAATGATGAAATAAAACTTAAAAATCATATACCATGATATAGTTTTTGCATTGATTTGGTAATGACAAACTTTAATGATTTAAACATTATTTTTATTTACCTTATGTGCAAGCTTTTTATTGTTTTATTGCTACTAGTACTATAGATGAAACTTTATTTTTAATTTGCCATAGGGTGTGTATGGGTGTATGGTCACTGGTGTGGGGTGGGGAGTGAGGTACCGCCTCCAGAGGGGATGGCCACACTGCAGTCTCTTCTCTATTCTGTTGGGATTTTAGGCATGCATGCACACACATCTGGTGTGAAGTAATTATTGTATTTAACTTTATTTATAAATTTGACCAGAGAGGAGCAGAGCAAGAGAGAAAGAAGGGGAAAGCCCCAGGAGATGATTTCTCACCTTCCCTCTTTCTGTCTCCAGCAAGCACACACCCTATGACAAAAAATAATGATGAAATAAAACTTAAAAATCATATACCATGATATAGTTTTTGCATTGATTTGGTAATGACAAACTTTAATGATTTAAACATTATTTTTATTTACCTTATGTGCAAGCTTTTTATTGTTTTATTGCTACTAGTACTATAGATGAAACTTTATTTTTAATTTGCCATAGGGTGTGTATGGGTGTATGGTCACTGGTGTGGGGTGGGGAGTGAGGTACCGCCTCCAGAGGGGATGGCCACACTGCAGTCTCTTCTCTATTCTGTTGGGATTTTAGGCATGCATGCACACACATCTGGTGTGAAGTAATTATTGTATTTAACTTTATTTATAAATTTGACCAGAGAGGAGCAGAGCAAGAGAGAAAGAAGGGGAAAGTGAGAAAGCCAGGTCTGGGACTCAAACTTTGGTCAGCCATGTGGGAGTCCAGTGTCCTTAATCACCACGCCCCCTGTCAGTCCCAAAACCTTACATTTTTAAGCTGGAAAAAGGGTTGATGAGAGAGGGACCACACATTCTGACTGAATCCAGAAATACCAGCCTATTGATCTTTGCTGCCTTTGATACCACTGATTGCTCAGGTATGATTAGATGTGTGGGTAGCCTCTAAGGCTGTTCCTAAAGAGTCAGAAACCTAGGCACTTGCCTTATTGACGTGGCTGAGGTTCCTGAACCAAAATAAAATAAACACCCAAGGAGGGTCCAAGAGTCTGACTTGTGAACCGTGTACTTACTGTTCCTCGCAGTGTTCTAGGGCACACATAGGCTCAGAGCATGAGGGGCAAGCGGGGGAGCAGTCATTGCTTTGGGGTCAGCACTGGTTGTAGGGTGATTTAAACTGATTTATATGAGTGACTGTGTGAAGCTCAGTATCTAATATCAACCAGGAAAACTCAGATTTGAGAAGTCCAGAAAGTTAGGAGTTCAGTTTGGAAAATGTTTTTGTTAGGTCTGTGTAGAGCTGCCCACTGATCATAGCCTAACTTCTAACACCACGCACGCGATTCTGGACCTTAAAATTATTATTTTATTTTACTTTTTTTTTTTTTTCACTAGAGAATGGATGCACAGGGGCTGGCATGTGGCATGGTGGTTAAAGGCGTTGGGACTCCCACATGGCCAACTGCAGTTCAAGTCCCAGACTGGGTGGTGGCTCTCTCTTTCTCTCGGTGGTGGCTCTCTCTCTCTCTCTCTCTCTCTCTCTCTCTCTCTCTCGTCAAATTGAAAAATAATGATAATAAATAAATTAAAATTCTTTTAAAAAAAGATGGATGCACTTGCCAAAGAGAGGGAAGGTGGGAGAAGGAGAAAGCACCCCCCTCAGTGGGACTTGGTCACTCTGCAATTCCTTCTTCATTTCTGATCCTGTTGGAATTTTGGGTGTGCACATACATAATAACCAGCGTGTTTTTATTTTTTCTTCTTTTTTTTTTTTAGTTTTTGGTATAGGGCACATACACTCACCAGAGACACAGAGAGGGAAGAAAAGTGAGAAATCATTCCCCAGGGGTATGGCCATGCCACAATCCTTTCTCCGATCTCTTGAGATTTTGAGCATGCATGAATCCATACCCAGTGTGATTCTCAAGCTACTAAGTTGAGGACTCAAATGAGAAAGCTGGCCATGTGGGATCCAACAACTTAATCACATGCCACTTGTTAGCCACACCAAGTGTTTTTCTTTTTCTTCTTTTGTTTTAAGTTTTTTGCCATAGGACACGTGTACTTGCCAAAGAAAGACATAGTCAATGAGAGGGAAAGTCCCTGGAAGGAATAGCCATGCCCCAATTCCTTCTCCATTCTCATGGGATTTGGAGCATACATGTACTGTAACCTGTAATGATTTTCAAGTTGCCAGGTCCTGGACTCAAACCATGGTTGGCCATGTGAGAGTCCAATGCCTTAAACATCATGCCACCTACTGGCCCCTGTCAGCATGTTTTTCAAGCTGCCATGGCTAGAATCCAAACTGCATGGTTTACTACGTGGAATCTGGCACCCTGGGCCTCAAGTCCAGCCCTCTTTTTCTATTTTAACAATGATTTCTCACTTCTGGATAACAGATCTGAAATTTCATTGATTCCCAAAACTTAACCTATGTGAAGCTTAAGATGAGTACCAGGCTGATGGCAGTTACAGATTGCCTCGGTCCACATTATAAGTAGGTAGGAGGGAATGCTCTCTGGGAAAATAAAATGCGTTCATTCCTTGGAGCAGGGCCCTGTAGTATAAAGGAACATTCAGGTTGCCTGAGTTCTCCCGTGAACTCTTCAGGCAGGTTGGTTGTGAGCCATGCTGGACTCCACGAAGACGGAGCCAGCGTGGTCTGCAGGCTCAGGGCGCAGGTGTACAGAAGCACATTCTGAAGCCTTTGGCACTGGGGTGGTGTCCACCACTCTGCCCAAGGAAGGTTAGGTCTAGATGTGGGGACTGGAGGTACAGAAGGTCCTGGGGATGTGGGCCTCACTTGGGCGTGTCAGAAAGTAAAGTAGTACTTTAAGTAAATACTTCCAGGCAGAGTGAAGGGCAGCAGAACCTCTCACTCCACTGTCCTGCCTCTTCCTGCCTTTGGCAACTGAAAGAGACTGATTTTTCCTCGATCTGCTCTGTCACCCGTTTCTATGCCATTACCTCTGAAGTCCTCAGTGTTGGCCTTTCTGACCCAGCCATCTTGGCTTGCTCCTAGGACTTGTTCCTTCCAGGTGGAGGACACCTGCTGGGACCAGCACTGAAGTGATGAGGCTTCCCACCCTAAACCAGCACAGCAATAAAATCTAAGCAGCGGGCCGTGAGTATTCTGAAGATTGTGAAGGAGCAGACATTCTGGAAAGATCAGTTTCTTTTATTGAACAATTCCATGGTTACTCCTTTTGAGCTCAAATTGAGATATTTATGATTATGAGGTCCAGCAGGTGGCATGGTCGTTAGGCACTTGATAGCCAAGAGCAGTTTCAGTCCCGGACCAAGTGATTTGACAACCATGCCAGGCGCATGTGCACATTTGCCTGAAATCCCAGAAGGAGAATGGAGAAGGGATTGCAGCATGGCCACCCTTTCTCCCCCAGGGGATGATTTTTCACTTTCATTCTCTCTGTCTCCCTCCAGCAATTTAATGGCAAATACCTTTTTAAAAAAGATACTTATGGGACCAGCAGTTAGTGTAATGGTTAGTCGTTGTACTCCCACGTAGTCGACTGCGGTTTGCGTCCCAGACCCGGTGGCTTAAAACTCATGCCAGGTGCATGTGCGTGCATGCCCAAGATCCCAAGAGGAAAATGGAGGAGAAGGGACTATGGCATGGCCATCCCCCTGGGGGGTGATTTTTCACTTTCTGTCTCTCTGTCTCTCTCTGTCTGGCGAGCGCACGCGCCCTATAGCAAAAACCTCCCCCCCCCCAAAAAAAAAGATACTTATGATTATATCTGTCCTATGATGTGGTATTTAAAGCGTCTAGATCACTGGATCTCAAATGGCTGACTACAGTTAGAACCCCAGACCCAGCAGTTTGAAAAACTTGCTAGATGCATGTGCACCCAAGACCCTGAGAGGATAATGGAGAAGAGACGACTACGGTATGACCAACCCTCATGGAGGGTGCTTTCTCACTCTCCTCTCTCTCTCTTTCAGCAAGTGTACTTGCTCTCTACCAAGTAAATAGAACTGCAAATGGTATTTTTTTAAAAAGCCAAGCTATGAAAACAAGTAATGCTCTAAACATCTATCTTGAGAATGTTAAACAAGAAAGGACTCGGAAAACAAACCCAAAGAAAGCAGAAAGAAGAAACTACTAAAGAGCAGGAATTAGTGGAAAAGCAAGTGTGTATCCTTATGGTCCTCACATATAAAGAACTATGGTTTTATTTATTTATTTATTTATTATTACTCTATTTGCTACAGAGAATGTGTATTCACCAGAGAGAAAAAGCGAGAAAGAGAAAGGGAGAAAGCAAGCTGTCAGGTCCGGGACTCTCACCATGGGCAGCCATGTGGGAGTCCAGTGCTCTTAACCACCATGCCCCCTGCTGGCCTCAAAGAGTTGTTTTAAGTAGTTTCTCTCTATACGCAACTCTCATGTAAGTTACATTTGAATTCCTATTTCTGCTTCCAGGAAAAGATCCTGATTACATGATCAACCTGATCTTGCAGATGGTGACTCCTGGCCTTAAACAAGGAGTCATTTCAGAGCAGAGTTTCCATAAGTCCACACAGGAGGGTGATGCCCAGGAGCCTAACTAACTTTCCTCAGGG